TTAAACATAACCAGTGTTTACTTCTAAATAATCCATGTCCCTCACAGAGCAAATATTCAATAAGTGGCTGGGGATCTAGCTCAGCAGCATGGTGTCTGCTTGGCAAGTGTGAGGTCCTGAGTTTGATTCCCAGTACCAAGACATCTGTCTATTCAGTAGATCAACATTGACAGTGAGATGGGGAAGCAGGGATTTTGATTTTGCTTTGTGGTGCTTGGGGTCCCAGCTAGGGTCTTGCACATGCTTGGAAAGCACTGTTTTGTTACTGAGCAATGTCCCTTATCGTGAGGAAACAGTTTAAATGAAACTTAAATGCTTTTACAGGCTAACAAAATAGAGAATTTGAAAAGCAGGAGAGAAAGGATAATTAGAGGGCAGAAAGACCTTAGGTAGGGATTAGTGATAATTGAAGGTCAGTTGGAGTTGTTTGTCATGGATTATTTATAGGTAACATGGCAAGGAGATTTTATTTGTTTTGAGATGGGGCCCCTTAGCATTGCCCAGGCTGGTCTCCTAACTCAAGGGCTCACATGAGCTTTCTGACTCAGCTTCCAAGGTAACTTGAACTACACACATGTGGCACTGCATCTAGCATGTAGCCAAAAAAGTTTATTGATACCAAGAATGATGTACTTCTTACTCAGGATGTTAAAAATGAAGTAGAAATGGCATGTGAAAAGAACAAGTTGGAGTGCTTATCATTGGGAGGCTTCACCTGTGGTTTGTTGAAAAATGTTAGAACCTAGGGATGTGCTTCAGTGATTGCTTATCATGTGCTTCTTATCATGTTGTGAGGACCTGGGCTCAATCCTCAGTGCTAAAAACAAGTTGCTTCTGGTCTTTCAGAGATTCAGATTAATTTGGTTGAAATAAAAAAGGGTTCTCAGAATTTGTTTGATCCTCTTGAAGTAGTTTTGGTAGTTGAATGTGTTCCAGGTGAATTCCTGAGTGCCTAATATCTTAATGGAGTGATGGCGAACCTATGGCACATGTGCCACAGCTGACTGTGATCATTGAAAGTTCTGAAATGTTCACTATTATGCCTGCTTGGGCAGCAGCACATGTATTAAAAAGCTCACCATCACTGCCTTTACTCTATTTGGTTGCTAGAGCTGCTGTGACAAATACCACAGCCTGGGTGGATCAAACAATGAAAATTTATTTTCTTATAATTCTGAAAGCTAGAAGTCTAAGATCAAAGTGTTGGTAGGTTTGGTTTCTCTTTGAGGATTCCCTCCTTGGCTCTCTGTGTCTTTACACAGAGTTTCCTTTGAGAATGCACATCCCTAAAGTCTTCGTGTATATTTCAGTTTTCTCTTGGAAAAGATGCCAGTCAGCTTGGATTAAAGCTTACCCATAAAGGACCATTTTAACTTGACCATCTCTTCAAAAGGCTGTCTCCAAATACATTTAAATTTGGAAGTAGTAGGAGTTAGGATTTCACGATAAGAATTTTAGAGGGACAGTTTGGCCCGTAACATGAGTTTACCTTTTTAAAAACTAACCAAACATCATGAAACCATAAATAAAGTTATCTATATCCCTTCCATATTTCCTAGCCAATAATCATAAGAAATTGTCAGAATTTGGAATTCGAAATGGCAGTCGGCTTCAAGCAGATGACTTTCTTCAGGACTATACTTTATTGATTAACATACTTCATAGGTAAGCATTATCAATATTTGAAGTATAAAAATTATGAATATGCAAACCAAAGATAAAGTGGGAGAAAAATGTGTTTTCACCCCTAAACTCTATTGTCCAGTTGAAACTGCATAGTACATTTGAGTTGGCCATTGGGTTCTCTGAAGTTTAATCTAGAAAGAAAGCTTTGGTATTGAGAAATAAAAAGGAGGGACCTGGGGATACAGCTCAGTGGCACAACACCAGCCTGGCAAGTGCGAGGTTGGGAATTTGATTACTAGTACTGAAAAAATAAAAAAGATAAGCAAAAAATGCTTAAAGAACTGTCAACAATAGTGACTAACAGAATGATACATAGTCTAGGACTTTCAATAGTTATAATCAGAGGTAAATTAATTTCAGTAATTCAACTGTGATAAAAATCAACTTTCCTTTTTCCTCCCCCTGCCCTGCCCCTCACCTTTCAACTTTTTTTTTTTTTTTAACTTCCCTGGAATAAAGAAGAAATACTTCTTCCACAAGGCAAATACTTTTTTTTAATGTTTCTGTGACAGTATCAGAAGGCTTCAGAATTATCCCATTGAGAATCAGACAGGAAGATTTCAAACTTGAGGCCATCCTGGATTATGTTAACAAGACCCTTTCTCAGGAAACAAAAAACATAAAAAAGAATTATTCTGTATAGATTCCTGAGTTACCTATTTTTTTCTACTTGATTTTACTTCTTGCCTGCCTTAAAAAAAGTACTCAAAAGTGCTTTGTGTTACAGAATGTTTATATGTATCCAACAAAGTTATGATGTAAATGGTCTTGTACTTTTTCTTTCTTTTGGTGGCACTTTGGATTGAACCTGGGGCCTTGCACTGATTTACAGTCTTAGCCCAGTTTTGTTTTGTTGAGAAGGTCTCACTATGTAAATCAAGCTAGCATGGAACTCATTCTGTAGCCCAGGCTGCTCGGGAACTCGAGGTGATCCTCCTTTCTCAGCTTCCTGAATAGTGGGATTAGAGGTGTGCACTACTGCGCCTGACTATCTCTTAGGTTTGAAACTCGGTCTTGTTTAATTGCCCAGGCTCCCAGAGGGCTAGGATTATAGGCATGTGCCTAAATGCCTGACTGCTTGTATATTAATAGGCTGAATAAAGTACCTTTTTAAAAATCCTCATTGATACCCATAAACTGACAGGCAGAGTTAGATTGGTGTTGCTTGGCATCCATTCATTTTGTGCTGTTGTCATCTGTTTTCCAATATGTACTGTGTATGGTTGGTTGGCGGTATTAACATTTTATACTTGTTAAAAACTGAAATGACAGTAAAGACTAAATATTAGAAGTGTAACTTTCATATAGTTACATCATGGAGTCAGAGTCAGACTTGCTAAGCTATGATTGCTAATCTCAGTTGGACACCAGTTGGATGTCAGTGGTGTGCTTGTGTTCACTTGTGAAAGAAAAGACCATGAAAAGATGTGTGTAATAAAGTGGAAATACCACATTGTCTTTTAAAAAGAGGTATAATTAGAGTTGAGCTATTTTTATAGCTAAACAAACTGGGAACAAACTCACTCACCTTCCCCCTTTAAAACATGAAAGTCTTAAACTGGGCATGGTGTCACATGCCTGTAATCCCAGCACTCAGGAGGCTGAGACAGGAGGATCATTGTGAGTTTGAGACCAGCCTGGGTTGCAAAGTGAATTCAAGGCCAGCCTGAACTACATAGCGAGACCCTGTCTCAAAAAAAAAGAAAACCTTGTAAGTCTTTTGTTTGACTTTCATGCATTAAAGTTTCATACATGTTTTTGAGAGCTCATAGAAAACTGGAATGCTGCCTATAAAAATGGAGGAAGGCCAGGATGGTGAGGCTGCAGGATCATAATGAGGTCAAAGCCAGCCTGAACTAGACCCTATCTCAAAAAGGAGGAAAGCCAGAAACCATGTAACTGTACTCAAAAACACCAAAGTCATGGTAGTCAAGATCAGATTATGAATAAAGTTTGTAGGATCTGTTAGCACTTTATTGAAGAGATGACATCTACAAGTTACATTGAGCCTACAGCATTTCAGATTCATTTTTCTGCATTGATAATAAATTATTCAGCTTTTTTTCTTTTTAAGATTTCCCCAATTCAAAGGTGCATTAGTTTTGACCCATCTGAATTAAAAGTTTTGAATTATTACAAACATCTGTTGTAAATAATCTTCAATATTTTAAAAAGCAGAATTTAAATATGTGGTATGAACACAGTATATGAAGAGTAATGTGTCTGATTGCTCCTATGCTGTGTAGTCATAGCAGTAGTCCTGTTTTATGGTATGTGATTCGCTTACAGTGAAGACCTAGGGAAGGATGTTGAATTTGAAGTTGTTGGTGATGCCCCAGATAAAGTAGGGCCCAAACAAGTGGAAGATGCCACCAAAAGCATAACCAATGGCAGTGATGATGGAGCCCAGCCTTCCACCTCCACAGGTATGTCCTTGGCCTCGCAGCTGGTGAGTCATCACCCACAAGGCACAAGTATGTAGAAGCAAGTTGTGTTACATTTGTGAATACTAAATGTGAGGTATAAATCCATAAAATTCTAGGGTTATGTGTTGATTTGATATGAATTTTGCAATGGATCTTTGAATATATAACCCCTTGACACATTTAAGACTGAGGAAAATTTTTAGAGAAAATAAAAACCCTTTGTTATTTTTAAGTTGCTTTTTTTTAAAGTTGCTTTTTATAGACTGGAAAGAAAACTGGAAAGTTTACTAGTGCATAAAGTGAATTTTCTTTCTTTCTGTTTCCTTTCCCTCCCTCCCCTACCTGTCTTTGACATTCTTTAGGATATATCTATTCTTGGTTCTAGTGTTCTTTGAAAGTTTTGCGGGATGGACTTGGAAACTTGGAATATGGCTGTTCCATGGGCTCTTGATTTGTGACCTTTTCCCTCCACTGAAACAATCTCCTTTGAGGCTTCTCTGGTAGCTTTTAGTCACAGTTTGAAATCATAACGTGAAATAAACATTTATTGGTCTTCTGCTTTGCATAGATTTCAGAGGCTGTATAGCAGTAAAATAGGTATTCTGCTTTTGATTATTACATGGTGAGGAATAAAACTACCTTTATTTAATTTAAAAATTTTTTTATTTTAAAGAGGATAAAACAGTAAAACCAATCAAAACAAACCAGTGTAAGAGATACAGAAGTTCAAAACATTATGAAATCAATAGTAGTTACCATAATGCCTTTTGATGTCTTTAAAATAGCTGCAGATAACTTCAGACATAGTAAAAATCAAACAGAACAGAATAGAAACAAAAAAAAACAATGAATGCAATAAAGGATTTCAAAACAAGCTACCATAATATATTTTGCCATCCTTGAAATAGCTTCTCCTGCCATTGTATGTAACATACTCAAACAAAACAAATGAGAATAAAATCCAACCCAACAACACAACGGAAATGATATAGGAACTCAAAACAAGACCATAGGAAGTCAACAGTGGCTACATCCCTTAGAAGGAGATCTCTCCCCCACCCCCCATGCTATACTGCATACCATTATCCTCTAAACCTATGATCAGACCACTGACCCTAGACCTGTAGTGTTAGTGAAACACCAAAGCACCACAGGCATCCAGTTGCTCTTTATCTCCATAGCTATCATAGCCTGTGTTTCTCTGGATAAGCCCGTGGCTTCAGTGGAGGGGTTGGTACTTTTTGTTTGCCAGCCTGTGCACTGGAAGGGCTGGTGTGTGGCTGTTCTCAGTCCACTGAACTATCTTTGGTGTAATATTCAGAGCATAAAATTTGAGGCCCTACTAAGTGGGTTTGAATCCCAGTCTTACCCTCTACTATTACATATATCTTCATACCTTTCTCTGTACCTTGGTAGAAAACAGATCACAATGTGAATCTTCTTTATAGAGTTGTTGTCTTGATAAAATAAGTTGTTGTATAGTGGTCAGAAGAATTCTTGGCACATTGTAAACACTCTTTGTTAATGTTATTGTTGTTGTTTATCTCAACTGCTGTTAGGATATGCTTCTTCCACTTTCCTGTTGGAAAATCAGTGAAGCATAATGAATCTTTTGAGTTATGTAATGCTTGTTGTTGTTTTTGTTTTGCTTAGAAAAGAAATGGTTAGGTCCTTGGACTTGGTTCAGTTCTCAGTAACCCTTCCCCCCAAAAAGAAAGAAAATTGGTACTTGTTGTATAAAAACATTTAAGACAGTTCAGAACCAAGTATGTGTTATGTGAAGATTCCTTAAGGGTAGCAGTAGCATAACCATTCTTAAAATTGGTGCATAGTCAGAGAGTTGGCTTTAAGTTATGTATTATTGGCAAGCCACTAATAACTTCCACACTTTTAACCAATTTTTCCTTTTTTCTGAAATAAGCACAAGAGCAAGATGATGTGCTCATAGTTGATTCAGATGAAGAAAGTCCTTCAAATAATGCTGACAACAATGAGGATGAGAGAAGTCGCAAGAGGAAATTAGATGACAAAGAGAATAAGAGTGCAAAGAGGTCTCGAATTGAACAGAGGGAAGAACTTGATGATGTCATAGCATTAGATTGAACAAAAAAATCCTTACTCTGTCAGCTTATCTGGACACGACCAGATCATTTGTTATGTCCTTTGTTCCAAAGGGAAAATGTTGACACCAGTGACTTGAAAGTGATTCTGCTCCCTTTGAAAGCATTCATTTTGCTAGAACTATTAGAAACATTGCAGTATGCTGTACTGAAAGTAGGAATATAGTTTTTAAACCCTTGAACAAACTGTGCATAACCAGTTATGAAATAAAACAACACAATGCATGTTGCCTTCTTAATGTAAATACCCTTAGGTACCATTTAATAGTTTAAAAATATTGTGGTTTAGTAAAGTTGATAACTGGTTATAAATATTATGCCTTTATTTTTGGCTAGAAGAAAAATTATTTTTAGCCTAGATTAACCATTTTCATATTCTTAACTGAGACAGATTCAAAGAAATATCAAGTGCTATGCATTGAAACCTGTTTTTAAATGTTAAATGGCGCTATGTATATTAATGTAAAACAATGTTAATTTACTCAGATTTTCAGTTTTTACTGCCTGATATGTCTGTGTAAGAAGCCAATTTTTGTGTATTGTTACAATTTCAGGTTATTTATATTTGATGTTTTGTAGAACTCAAATTAATGAATATACTGTACTATGGACCAAATAAATGGCATCTGCGTAATTGTTACAATGTTTGCACAATTCCCATTTCTGCTGCCTTACTAGTTTGGGCATTATAGCTACTGCAAGTGTGCTGAAATCTATGTGAAGATTAATTCAGGCCTAGGGGTGTAGCTCAGTGATGTAGTCCAAAGAGTCTCACCTTTGTAGTTAGGCTGGCCCCTGAACTTGCAGTAATCCTCCTGCCTCAGCCTCTGGAGTGCTGGGATTACAGGTGTGTGCCATCACACCAGGCTGAGTGGTATAGCCATGAGTTAAAGGCCAACCTGAGTCACATACTGAATTCAAGACGAGCCTGGACTCCAGAGTGAGAGCTTGTCTCAGAAAATTAAAAGAATATTTACGTAATCTTTTTCTAACATCTGTAACTTGGGCCTTGGATTTAAGACTGGAGATTGTGTGTGTGTGTGTGTGTGTGTGTGTGTGTGTGTGTGTGTATTGGCGTAGCAGTGTCATTTCTCCTCTATCTTGGATTGTTCCTCAGTTTACCAGTCTTCAGTCTTTGGGGGATTTTCTTGTTTTTTTTTTTTTTTTTTAATCCTATGTCATTCATGCTGGCCTCAGGCTTCTGCCAATCCTCAGTATACCACCATACCTGGCCAGAGTCTCTTTTTGAGGGTACCACTGTAACATTCATAGCCCAACTCCTACCTGCAGAAGTGGCCAGGTCTGTCCTGGCCGGAAAAGCATGCAGAACCTTGAGCTGGAACTCAAGCCGTGGAAACCTTGCCATTTCCCTACTTGGGTACCTGTACCCTGGTAAGTTTTTTGGTGATGATCCTTTTTGATGTCAACTGTTTTTCAAACTGAAAACTTAACGTTACGTTCTTTTTTATGGGTGTCTTATCTTTTTTTTTAGTGTTGGAGATTGAATACAGTGTCTTCTTAGTGAGCTACATACTCAGCCTTCTTAATTTTTTTTGAGATCATGTTGCTAAATTGCCTATACTGGGCTGGAACTCAATCTTCCTGCCTCGCCAGGCGTGGTGGCTCACACCTGTAATCCCAGCACTCGGGAGGCTGAGGTGGGAGGATCATTGTGGGAGTTTGAGATCAGCGTGGGCTACAAAGTGAGCTCAAGGCCAGCCTGAAATGCATAGCAAGACCCCGTCTCAAAAAAGACAAAAAAAAAAAAAAAAAAAAAAAATCTTCCTGCCTCAGTCTCCTAGAGTGATGACATTACAGACACCTGCGTCTACTTTGTGTAATTCTTACACTGTGTTCCAGCTTGTTTTTTTTTTGTAATCAAAGTCTTCAGAAAAGTCATGTTGAAGCCAAGCACAGTGGCACATGCTTGTACTCCCAGCGGTCTAGGAAACTGAGGAAGGAAGAGCACAGGTTTGAATTCTACCTGGGCAACAGAAAGACAGACCCTGTCTCAAAAAGGAAATAAAAGTGACTGGGAACTGAGCTCAGTGGCATTTGGTCTCTAGTACTACACACCAAAAAGAGTCACATTGAGTAAGTTCTGCCTTCAGCTTGTTGCTCAATATTCCAGGGTGCACCAACTTCAACCCCACCAAAGCTGCTGCTAGCAAGCTGGTCCCTCATTCACAGTGTTGTGAGACTGCTTTTACTTTATTTTTTTTGGTACTCGGACTTGAACGTGTGACCTTGCACTTGCCAGGCAGGCACTTATGCTGACAAATCCCTGGCCTGTGCTTTTTATTCTGCCCTTATATTTCTGGTGTTTATCCTCCAGAAAAACAATTTTTGGTACTGGGAACAGAACTTAGGACCATGTGTTTGCCAAGCAAGTGCAATGCTACTGAGTTACATTTTTCCACTGAGAAAAACATTTTAGACTTAGGACTAGGATAACACTTAAGTTTTAGAAGTCAGACCCCTAAAAGGCTTTCCAGGAACTGAATTTGGAAATTCTCATCTTTACACTCCATCAGCCTGCCTTTAGATACAGTTGTGAGCAGTATTTCAAGTATTTTGTATACATTCTTTGTTTTTTCTCATTTGAATGTACATAGTGGTAAATGACAGTTAAGTCTGCAGATGTGAATCTGCCTAGGTAGAGCAGAAGTTTTAGAAAAATGTTTTTACTTTATTGATACATTTCAGATATACATAATAACATTCAGCATAGGGAGTTTGTACCTATATGTGTGTATCATGCTGCTGCATTTTCCCCCATTTCCTTACCTTCTCCCTTCAGTCCCTCTTCCCCTCCTTTACAAAAGCTGTTTCCATGTTTTCCTCCCCCTCATTCCGTTTTTCCTCTCCCCCTTGCCTCTCCCTTATTCACTTGACTATTCTCTTCCCATTTCCCAATATGACCAGTAGTTTTTATCTGCATCAACTTTCACTACCTTTTCCAGTAGTATCTGTACATGTTTTGATAAGATTCAGGTTTGTCAGCAAGGCAAGTCTATATCCACTAGGTAGAGGGAGTCTTGGCCAACTTAACAGTAGGTGAAGCTACCTGCAGGTCCCTGGAGGTGGAGATATTTCAGATATGGGTTTTCCCAGTTGGGACTGGGTAACAGGATTGCTTCCAAAAGCCTCTGTCCTGCCATGGGCTGAAACAGTGTCAGGTCACCTTCCAGCCTCTTAGCAAAGTCTGGTGACAAGTTAACGTAGAGTCCATCATTCCAAAGTCTGCTCTATATACTCAGTATTTACCAAAAGAGGGTCTAACATTTTAACGTAGGGTTTGAAACAACTCATGAGGCCAAGATCCTAATAGATGACAACCCTTCCATGCAAGGCTGCTGTGGAACAGTGTTAGCACAGTACTCCATTGTTGATGCACAGATGACTTGAAAAGGAGAATGGTTTCATCAGTGTGCACCTCTGGGTGCCACCACGATTTACTGGTTAGACCTAGCAGCACAATGCTTCTTGGTGATACCATGAACACCTCAGTACCTTACCAAAACATTGTTAGCCTGAGTCTAATAAGGCAGCTAGATTTAACTTCCAGCTAACAGGAAGTAGAGAAACAAACAGAAAAGTTAGCCAGATATGGTTCCACATGTATGTAGTCCCAGAATTCTTGAGGCAGAGGAAAAAGGATTGCACATTTGAGCCTGTTCTGGGCAATTTAGCAATTTATTGAGTCCCTTTCAAAACCTAAAAAGGCTGGGATATAGCTCTGTGGAAGCCCTGGGTTTGATACTCAGTTACCACCACCACCAAACAAAAGTTGAGTGTGATACTCCATTAATCCATAACTGAACTGCTGGGCATTTCAGTAAGTTGTTGCTTTTGTGAGGGAGGGGTTGGGATAGGGTCTTGCTTTATAATTCAGGCTGGCCTTGAACTCAACAGTGATCCTTCTGCCTCCTGAGTGCTGGGATTACTGGTGTGTGCCACCATGCCTGACGGTGGTGGTTTTTTGTATTTTGATGTACTGGGGATTGAACCCTCAGCCTTCAAGTTCAGCTGTGTCCCAGCCCTGTGTTTTTGTTTTTAATTTTGAGACAAAGACCTCAGTAAATTGCCCAGGCAGGACTTAAATTTTCAATCTTTCTGCTTCAGCCTACCAGAGTGCTAGAATTACAGGTGTAAAACACCATGCCAGCTAATCACTGGCAGTTTATACAATGATGATTATTTTAAATATTAAAATAAATTTAAGAGAATATAATGGCAATATTCTAAAAGTCATATCCCAGTTCTACAAAATAAATGAACATAGAAATTCTAGTGACAAACAGAAATTGAGTGACTCTGAGCATGGTAATGCATGATATAGTCCAGCACTTTGGGAGGCTGAGACAAGGAGGATCCCAAATCTGGCTCTAGCCTAGGCAGCTTGGTGACAGAACAAGAACTTGTGTCCAAAAAAAATGGGGAGGGGCTGGGGATTTAGCTCAGTGTCACAGGCGCCTGCCTGGCATGCATGAAGCTGTGAATTTGATCCTCGGTATCAGAAAAAAAAAAAAAAAAAGTGGGGAGTCCTAAGCATGTAGCTCAGCACAAAGGTCCTGGGTTCTAACTCTAGTACTATTAAAACATATATACACACAAAGTTATTTTCTTTGTATGACAAGTTCTTGAGTAATAAAGGCTAAAATTTTTTTCCTTTACATTAGGGATTAAAACCAAGGCCTTTGCACAGAACTGTATTCCCAGTCTTGTTGATTTTGAGACAGGGTCTCACTGAGAGTTGCCCAGGCTGGCTGAACTTGTGATACTCCTGCCTTAGCATCTCAGGATGGTGGAATTACAAGTATGCCCCATCATGCCTCGTTTAGGCTGTTGTTATTCTTAGGATATTAGAGATGCAGCTTCATGACACCTGTAACTTCATTTTTTTACATGATTTCGCTATGTAGTCCAGGCTGGCCTTGAACTCACTATGTAGCCCAAGCTTACCTTAAATACATAGTAATCCTCCTGCCTCAGCCTCCTAAATGCTGGGATTACATACACCTGTCTGATACAACTTTTAAAAAGTAAAATATATAGTATGGAAAGAAAAAAAAAGCAAAATGACTATCTGTTAGATCCAGGTAAAATATATATTGTTATTTATACTATCTAGATTGGACAATAAAATCTATACATGTACAATTTGTATTTTTCTTTTATGCCTAACTGATCTTGAGATGGGGTCTCAGTGTGTTGATCAGACTGGCCCTGAACCTTCTGGGCTTGAATGATCCTCCCCCCTCAGCTTTCCAAGTAGTTTGGAATACAGGTATATGCAACTATGCCCAGCTCAACCACATGACTTTTCTAACTTTTGAGTATATCCTATGATTAATGTTAGAAAGGCCATCATTATTAAAAGCGTAAGTTGGAGTGATTCTTGCAACAGTGATGAAATCAATTTTAGCTGTCTCTCTGCTAGGCTGAGACTTTAGAAAGATCCTTTTTGACTTGAGCTTCTAGAAAATAGATGGCTGTATATTTTTTTTTTTTTGGTTTTGTTTTGTCCCCCCCCAACTTTTTGGTGGTATCAGGGATCAAACTCATGACCTCACATCTGCCAGGCAGGCGCTTATGCCACTGAGATAAATCCCCCAGCTCAGCTTTGTTTTGTCTTTTTGAGCCAAAGTCTTACTATGTAGTCCAGGCTAGCCTTAAACTAGTAGCAATCCTCCTGCTGATGCCTGAAGGCTCCAAATGTTGTGGTTACAGGTGTGTGCATCATGTCCAGCCATTGATCCTCTGGAAAACTGATAGCAAATTGTTCTCAGTAGATTAATAGTCTACTCAGAAGTTGCCCAGAGGCATTTGGTTGATTCATAATGGATGTTCTGGTCCTGAAGGTTACCCCTCAAGGGCATATGTCTACAGTGGCCTTGCCCCATAACTCAGGAACATGTCCTAATTTCAGCCACTTAAGTGGTCTTTTATAACATACATAAAAATATTTAAAGTTGGGCCGGAGATTGAGCTTAGCAGCTCAAGCGTTTGCCTGGTGAATGCAAGGTTGTGAGTTCAATGCCTGGTATCAAAACCAAAAAAATTTAAAGTTAAAAGCTGGGTGTTTAGTGGTATACACCTACATAATCTCAGCTACTTGGAAGCTGAGGCCAGGAGATCATAAATTCAAGGTCAGTGTGGGGAACCTTAAAAGGTGGTGTCTCAAAATAAAAATGTGAAGAAAATAAAAGGGTGAGAATGTAGCTCTGTCATAGAGAGCCAGCCTAGCACACATAGGCCCTGAGTTGAATCTAATCACATACACACAGACAGACAGACAGACAGACAGACAGACACACACACACACACACACACACACACACACACACACACACAGAAACCCAAAGAAGTCAGGAAAGAAAAAAATTGCAGATGTTTAATCTTTGTGACTTGTAGATGTGAGGACAGCCCTGTTTCTGCATTTTAAAACAATATTCTCGCAGTCCAAAATCTCCAGTTGACTGTTTTGAGGGAGGATATATTTAGAGAAGTATTTTTATAGATACTTCTAGACTGGGAATACATTACTTGCATTCTGTTCATAGAAGAAACATTCCCGTTCTGGCCAAAAGTTTACTTAAGAAATTTTACTGCTTTCATTAAAAATAATAAATTAACTGAGTTGAACTATGTTTGGGCTATAGTGCTTTGTGTAGTTTGCTTATATTTCCTCTGAATTTTTTTTTTTAAAGACAGGATCTTGTTTTGTAGTTCAGGCTGGCCTTGGACTTGGCAGTCCTCCTGCCTCAGCCTCCCAAGTGCTGGGGTTACAGGTATGTGCCACCACACCCAGCTGCTTGTATTTTGAAGACAACTATCTGTAACATTTTAGGAGATTTTGCTAAATATCTCTCACTAATGCCAACTTTAAAATGTTTAAATCTAGCAACAGTGATGACTCATAAGACTTAGAAAGATTTGGAGCAAAAATTGTAATAGAGTACACCATGCAAAAAAGATTCTCAAGCTTTATATTTTACGAATCTGCCAACAGTCTAGTTTTGTTTTTACCCTTGCAGTGTTGGGGATAAGCTCAAAGCCTCATCCATGCCAGGCAAATGATCTACCATTAAACTACCTCTCCAGACTCAGTAATTTACTTCAGTATTTTTGGTTTTGGTACTGGAGATTAAATGTAGGGCCTTCATACTGAGCTACATCTCCATCTCTTTTTCTTTCTCTCTTTTTTTTTGAGATAGTGTTTCATTATGTTATTCAGGCTGGTCTTGAACTCACTAATGTATGCAAGGATAGCCTCTCTGGAGGCAGTTCTCCTTTCTCAGCCTCCTTAGTACTGAGGTGACAGGTGTGTGGCTCGCCCTCTTTTTTGGTAATAGGATTGAACTCATGACTTTGCACTTGCCAGGCAGGATTTAGCTGCTTAGCTAAATCCCTGGTCCTTCCAACCCCTTTCTAAAAAATGTTTTTATTTTGAGACAGATTTTCTTAAATTGCCCAGGCTGGGTTTGATTTAACTGCTTCAACCTTCCAGAGTGCTGGGATTATAGATGAATGCTAGCACACTGGTTCCCCAACAGTTTAACTCTCACAAAATCACTCTCAGGAAGGCCGAGGGTTTACCTCAGCAGCATAAACGCCTGCCTTGCAGGCGTGAGTTCGATCCCCGGTACCAAAAAAAAAAAAAAAAAAAAAAAAAAAAAATCAATCTCAGGAGAGTTAGGTTTTATATACATCATTCATTCACTTATATAAACACAAATTGCATCTCTCTTCTGCACTATGATGTACTCAGTGGAAAACTCATTGTCATCAGCATAGGTAGAAAACTTTGAGAGCAGTAGGATGCTACGAGCTATGAAGCATAGAAACTCAGCTTTTCATTTTATTATGGCAGCAACAAGTGCTGAGTGGAGGATCTGAGGACCCATAGACCAACCAGTTGGTCTTAGTGGTAGCTTTCAGGTTTTCTGAAAGTCATATATACCAACCATCTGGTCAAAAGCAATACCAAAAGCCCTGCTAATCTGAGCACCTCCAAATAGGTCCTTCTCATTGAGCTGTAGGCTGACTGGAGTTCTTACTGCAATACCAAAGTTTGACTAGAGGTCCTTGATTCTGAATGCCTCAAAAGAAAGGCTGAGAGGGTCTCTTGGTACTTGATGAAGGAAGCAAACTGTAAGTGTCAGATCCCAATCCTAAATCTTAGATTAGGAAATCAGTCTTTCCAAGGCTTCAGCCATCATTGCTTTGATCCCTGTCTTTCTCAGAGAGGTATAAAGTAGATACTAAGACTAGGGCATGAATGTTGACAGCCTGGTACAAAGAGGGGCCTCAAGCCAGGCATGGTGGGCCATGCCTGTAATCCCATCACTCTAAAGGCTGAGCCAGGAGGATCACACACGGAGACACTGTCTAAGAATAAATAAATAGAATTTTTAAAAAATTTGGGGTCAAGAGCTGAGGATTTAGCTCAGTGGCATAAGCGCCTGCCTGCCTTGTAAGGGTGCAGCTGTGAGTTCCATCCCCAGTACCAAAAAAAAAAAAAAAAAGGTTGCAAAAATAAAAAAAATTAGCTGGTCCTAATGGTACATGCTTGTAATCCCAGCACTTGGGAGGATTGCTGCGAAGTCAAGGCCAGCTTGAGCTACAAAACCAGCCTGAACCATATATAGTGAAACCCTGCCTCAGAAAAGAGTCTCCTCCAAAAAATAATAAAAAAATTTTTTTAAAAATTAGAAAGGTTGAGGATATAGTTCAGTGTGAAGGGTCTAAATTCAATCTCCAATACCTGAAAAAGAAATAACTGCTTATGAATGTCTTTGTTGTTTTGTGGGATATTAATACCAAATTATTATTTGTGCCATCCATTGTGCCACAGAGCCACCCTATCCCCGACCCCCCCCCCCCCCAAGCCTCCCATGCCTCCCTACACTGGGAATCGAATTTACAACCTTACATTTGACTGGCTGGTGCTGTGTTGCTGAGCTGTATCCTCAGTCCCAAACTGGCCTTCTAAACTACAATAGCAACTTATGCGTAGCAGTTTCCTATCAGTTCTGCCATGGGCGGTTCTGTGGTAACTTGGTCCACAGCTGACTCCTCAGCAATGTTGAGGCCAGTTTGCCAGGTCAGTCTGGGCCAGCACAATTCCCTGTGCAGGCTTCCTGACCCTGAGATACTGGAGGCGCCTTCTTTGCATTCTCTGAGGTACCTGGAACACAGGGAACTTTTCCACTTGAGACTGTTTTCCTGGATCCTGGCAGTTTGTACCTTTGAAGAATGCTCATCCACGTGCTCTCTGTGGCTTTACAGGTCGAGGCACCATCAGTGCTTTTGAGAGCATGTACATCAGGCCACACCCAAAATTCAGAGGGTAGCCTGGAAAAGCAAGGTGTCCTCATACTTCAAAGTTGGCTGCCCTTGGGTGTGCACAGCTGAGCCTACTGCCTGCTGGTCCTGAGCCTGAGGCCTATCTCCAGCCTTGTCTGGCCTTCAAAGGCTATGTGTGCAGCAACCCAGCCAGAGGACCAGTCTCCAACCAACCATAGTTCCCAGCTCTAGGCGTCTTCCCCACTGGCTGAAGGTGGTGAGTTCATGCTAGGTCCTAAAGGCGCATTTACAAGACATAGTGTTCTAGAGGGTCGGTGCTAGCGGTGCGCTGCCTGCACAACACTGAACTTGCTCAGCCCAGTGCCTGAAACCGAGGCAGTGCTAAGTAAGATGGGGGAGGATGTGAGAAGCAACTCTCTACCGCTCGTATTTCTCCAGCCAGAATAGGGGCAGCGCCTCCAGCTCAGCTCGCGGGAATCCACAATCTTCCCGGAGGCCTGGGCCCAGGATGAGCCCCTGGCGCTTCGAGCCGCACCCCGGCTGCGCGTTTCACCACGGAAGGGCAGCGCCAACCTGCCCGCCCCAGCGTCCCGGCGCAGCCTCCGCGCCCCTCCGGGCTCCCGGCGCAGTGCGGACACCTCGGCTCCGCTGCCGCCGCCGCCACTCCCGCCACATTCCAAGGACCGCAGTGCTGTCTCCTTCCTCGAATTCCTGACCCTGCAAAGGAGTCCCTCCGCGCCCCACCCCCCGCAAAGGAGTCCCTCCGCGACCCCTCCCCCCGCCCGCGCACAGCAGGGAGGAGGGGGCGCGGCCGGGCGCCGCGGAGCGCACATTCCTCCGCCGCGCGCGCCCTCGAGAGCCGCTCCGCGTCCCCCGGTCCGCGCGTGGCCGGCAGAGCGACCGGGGCCCGGCGCCGGCCCCGCCCCGCCCCGCGCTCAGGGGTCCCGGGGCGGGCTCCGGGCTTCTGGCGGACGATGAGGCGGCGCGGCCGGAGCGGCGGCGGGAAGCGGAGGCGGAGGTGACACGCTAGGGCCGGCGGGCCGGGCCATGCAGCGCTCCCGGGCGGCCGCGGACGAGGCGGCCCTGCTCCTGGCTGGGCTGGCCCTGCGGGAACCGGGGCCGGAAGGCGACTCCCCGGGCCGGCGTCGACGAGGGGCCCGTTCTGGGCCGGGAGACGAGGCGGCGCCGGCGCTGGGCCGCAGAGGCAAGGGCGGCGGCGGCGGCCCCGAGGCCGGGGTGGACGGACCGAGCCGCGCGGAGAGAGGCCCGCGGCGCGCGGCCGTCCCCGAGCTCAGCGCGCAGCCGGCTGGCAGTCCGCGGGCTAGCCTGGCGGGCTCTGATGGCGGCAGCGCCCGCTCCAGCGGCATCAGCCTGGGCTATGACCAGCGCCACGGCAGCCCGCGCTCCGGGCGCTCTGACCCACGTCCCGGGCCCGGCCCCCCGTCAGTGGGCAGCGCCCGGTCCAGCGTGTCCAGCCTGGGTTCCCGCGGCTCGGTGGGCGCCTACGCCGACCTACCGGGCACCTGCCCCGCGCCGGCCCGCTCTCCGGAGCCCGCAGGGCCAGCCCCTTTCCTGCTGCCTTCGCTGCAGCTTCCCCCAGCCCGGGAAGGCGGACCGAGCGCGGCCGAGCGGCGCCTGGATACACTTACCTGGGAGCTGGAGCGGGCGCTGGAGGCGCGTACGGCGCGAGACTATTTCGGTGAGCGGGCGCCGGGGCTCGGGAATCGGAAGGGCCGCCTGGACGGAGAAGGAGGTGTTCTGCGGGCTGGGGAGCCGGCGGCGTTTTGTGAACTACTAGGTGTGGGGTTTATTCACAACAGTAGCTTCTTCTCTAGGTCTCCCGTCACAAAGGCAAAATGAGCTGACGTGCTGTTGCTGACCTAAAAGTCAGGTTGATAGGCAGAAAGAGCTATTTTCTGATTTCTTCTTTTTATTTTCATTTTCAGCTGTACTAGGGATTGAACCCTGAACGTAGACCCTTTGCACTGACCCCAGGTCTTTAAATAATTTTTTGTTTCAATTTTTGAGACAAGATCTCCTTAAGTTTGACAGAGCCTGTTTCGAACTTTAGAGCCTCCTGTCTCAGACTCCCAGAGTGCTGGAATTACAGACAGGTGTGTGCCAGCAGGACTGACTTGGCCTTTCCTTCTTAGTTAACCCTTGCCACTTGCCACTGCTCATCCTGCCAGTAGTTTTCATATCAGCAGAAGAGACTTCTAACCTGGTGCTGCCCTCACCCAGCTGTATGCGTTGTTCACAGGAATAGAGATGGAGTGCCCTAGGTACCCCCAGATCCTACCTGGCCCAAAGCTGTGGTGACAGTGGTAGTACTAGCAGTGCTAGTAGCAGCAGAGGTGGAGACTGTATGAGAGATAGGAGAACCAAGTTGGACTCATTGGGCTGCTTTGGGCTGTTCCTGTGTAGGTGCTATTTTCTAAAGGATTCTTGCTTTGAGGAATCCTGCCTAGAAGGCAATTGCAAAGCCCATCAGTCTCTGATAGCCTCCATTTCCCAGAACTGCCTGGCTTTTTCATCCCTTTGGACTACACTTAGTCTGAAGTCAGGGGCAGGCAAAAGTGTTGTAGGAGCTGGGCAGAGTGCTTCTTCCCCAATTCCTTCCTGATAAGCGGAAGGGCTGGGCTCCTGACTTTGGAAGGAGTGAGTGGTTATCAAGCCTGGGACTGAGGCTGTCCTGGGGTTTCTATCTATTTCCATTCAGTGGAGCTAACAACTCTGGAATGCCCAGAACTGAATCTTGAGAGCTGAGGTGGCTGCATTTTGCAGGCCAATTGGGGGCCTTCCAGACAGAGCAAAAGGAGAGGGAGGATGTCAGATTGTGCCTCCCAGGGGTGGTAACCCAGGAGGGGTTAGGAGGTCAAGGGCATGTGTAGGCTAATGGGCTAGCACTGCCTTGAGGACTGAGAGCATCTCCCTGTGGGAGGTCAGAGGGAGACTGGTCTGGCTTTTGTGTTAGATACCAGGAGCAGAGCTGGGGCTGTCTGCTAAAGAGACTGCTCTCTTCAGGGAAAGCTAGCCAGTTGCAGGCCTCCTGTGCATCACAGAGCCTGGGCAGGCATGCATTTGTTGGGCTCCATGGCTGTTCTAGAAATTTTATGTAATGCTGGGATGGCCCTGGTCCTGGCAGGTTGGAAACAGTGGTTGATGGTAGAAGATTGTGTGTGTGTGTGTGTGTGTGTGTGTGTGTATGTATATATGTGTGTATGGTCATCCTTGCTACAGAGGAGTTGATTTAACTTCCTTGAGAACTGATATAATTTTTTTCACACCAATAGCAGCCAGCAAATAAGATTTAGGCAATGGTTCTCTGTTTCTTAAAATTATGAGCAGTGACAGACATGGTGGGTACACCTGTATTCTCAGTACTGTGGGAGACTGAAGCAGGATTGCAAGTTTGAGCCAAGCCTGGGCAATTTAGTAACTTAGCAAGACCCTGTCTCAAAAAAAGAGCTGAGAATGTAGCTAAGTGCAAAGGCCTTGGCTTCCATTCCTAGTACCACATACACGCACACAGCTGTTCAGCTGTTTGCTTGAGCTTTACAGTTCTCATGACATTTTACTTTTTTTTTCTTTGAGGAAGGGTCTCGATATGTAGTTCAGGCTGGCTTTGAACTCACTGTGTAGCCCAATCTGGTCTCAATCTTGCAAGTGATTCTCCTGCCTCAGCCTCCAAGTGCTGGGATTATAGGTATGCACCTCCACACCTGGCTCCCTGTTTGACTTTTTTTTTGGTTCTTAGGATTGAACTCACTACCTTGCACTTGCCAGGTAGGCGCTTAAGCCGTTGAGCTAAATCCTCAGCCCTGTTGGACTTTTTTGAGCTACAGATGTGATAGTTTCATTTACTAGTTTAATTTGAATAAAACAAAATTTGATCAAGGAAGTGTGTGAGTATTGTGATCTCCAGGAATCCCTTCGAGACCACAGTTATAGAGTCTATCTTTCTCCATGTGATCCTGACTTCCTCTCTACGCTCTGGTGCCAGCTGAACTCTTGTTCCCCCCTTGCCATTCATGGGTGTTCATGGAACTTTCTCCTCCCCTCCCCAAGCTTCACTGCTCTTAGCCAGTTCTAGAGGCCCAGTATCCTTGGGCCTCTAGAACCTCTTGGTGGCCTCCCTGTCTCTGAACCTGACTACTCACTCCCGGGGCCACACACTGGTATTTGCTTCTCCCTTGCAGCCTTCAGTTCCAATTCCAGCAGCTTCTTACCAGATCTCTGATTCTGCTCAGCTCTGCGGGACCCCAGATGAGTCCCTGCAACAGTCACTGTGCTGCTCTGCGAGGCCCGAGCACCTCAGGAAGTTGCTTGGACTATGACAGCTGTCTTCAACTTTGGAGGTTTTCTTGGCACCACTCTCCCTTCCTCTCCCATTTTCTTCTTTTCTTTTTCTCAGTACTGGGGCTCAAACCCAGGACCTTCACGTGTAGCCATAGCCAAAGATCTTTTTTTTAAAATTTACTTTCCCTTTTAGAGGCAGGGTCTCACCAAGTTGGCCAGACTGTGCTGGAACTTGCAGTCTTCCTGCTTCAACCTCCCGAGTTCTGGGATATACAGGCCTGTGCTACCATGCCCAGCCCACTCTGTTTTCAGTGACATTTGGCTCTCCTGTGATGCTTGTCCTTGCTTTCCACTTGCTCAGAACATCAAGGGCACCAGTTGCAGTCTATTTCAGTGGGCTTCTTGCTCCTCATTCTCAAGCTCCCTCCAGCCCCATCAGCTGTTCTTCCTGCGGTCTGAAAAGTTAAGGATTTCCCTCTTCATCCTCTACCTTTTCCATCTTCAGCTTCTTTCTTCCCAGTAGCCATTTTTCTCTGGCTATAAATTTGTACAAAGGTCTTGCTCTTCCCTTCCTTCCTTTCTTTCTCCTCCCTCCCTCGCTCCCTCCATCTCTGGGCTGTCAGCAAAGCAGGGCCTCTTGGAAGCTAAGCAAGCACTCTGCTGTGAGCTACAGCCCAGCCCTTTTAATTTTTGAGATAGGGTCTGGCTTTCCAATCTTCCTGTCTCAGTCCCCCTACAAGCTAGGATTACAGGTGTATGCTGTCTTGCCCATTTGTACAAGAATCTTGCATTTAAAAAAAGGTGAAAACAAAACTCTTAATCCTACATAACTATAGTCTCCCAGCCCTTCCCTCTCCTCCTTCTCTGAGGGACCTCATGTTCCTGGTTCTCTCTTTAATGTATTTTTATTTGTCTGAGATAGGGTCTCACTCCATACTACAGGCTGGCCTTGAACTCACTACATAGCCGGCACTGGCCTCTAACTCACGGAAATCCTCTTGCCTCAGCTTCCTGAGTGCTGAGATTACAGGCATGTGCCACCACACCCAGCTCTTTTATAAATAAATAAATATATATATATTTTTTAAAGGGATGGAAGCACAATTTGAGAAGAAAATAACACCACATCCAAAAACTAGTGGAAAGTAGAGGCTTCTACCCCTTTTTGGGGGGAGGGGGTACTAGAGATCAAACTCATGACCTTGCACTTGCCAGGGTAGGCGCTTATGCCACTGAGTTAAGTCCCAGGCCCGAGGCTTTCACTCTTGTCCACTCTTTCATTCTTATTTCTTGGGAGAGCTGAATTTTATGTTTTTCACTTTTCACTTTTCATTCCAGGAATTTATTCAGAGATACGACAAGGGTAGTCTCAAAGCTGATGAATGAGAAGGAAGGTGGGAAGGTAGCTGTCTTTCTCTCAGGTGCCCCTCTCCCAGTGTTGAGACTGAACTTTGTCCTGAGCTACACCCCCAGCCCTATTTATTTGTTTACAGGCTCTTGCTAAATCATTATGTTTCCTAACCTGGATTCAGGCAATCCTCCTTCCTCACCTTTGCAAAGTGCCACGATTATGTGGATGCACCACTATACCTGGTTTTATTTTATATTATGTTTTGGTTTTTTGAGCCATGGTCTCACTGTATTTTCAGGTGGGACTGAAACTCATTATGTAGCCCAGGCTGGCCTCAAACATATAGCAGTCTTCCTGCTTTAGCCTGCTGGGTGCTGCGTTTACAGGTGTGCACCATCATGTGCAACTCTTATCTTTTTTTTTGCAACTCTTATCTTGAAAAGAGGAGTTCGGCCAGTTTGCTGGGTAAGGCTTGTCAACCATCTTCAGAATCAGACCGGTGAGAGAAAAGGGTAGGAGTGAAGTCAAAACTAGGCAACACACCAGGTGTGTTGCCAGACATCTGTTATCCCAACTGCTTAAGAGGCTGAGTCAGGAAGATTGTGTCCAGGAAGTAGACATCAGTCTGGGCAACACAGCAAGATCCCCATGTGAAAAAAAAAAGGAACATTGATTCTGAGTTGGAGAGGAGGATAAGGGGCACACTGGGGCTGACAAAAGTACTATCTTCTGAGGAACAAACCAAGCCTGGAGCAGTTTGAGGGGATCTGGAACATTGGACACTGAGTATCTGGGGCCCCCAGGGAAGTCGATTAATAGTTAGGAGTCTGGGCCTGAGGCCTAGGCAGACCTGGCATAGGGAAGATGGGAGACCGGGGAGACCAGGTGAAGCCACGGCCACAGGCAGAAGCCTGCAGGTAGAGATTTCATGACCGCTGGACTTTTTTTTTCTGGTATCAGAAATTGAATTGGGGACTTTGTGCTTGCCAGGCAGGTGCTGCATTTGTAAAATTAGCAATTAATTAGCAATTAAATTAGCAATTTCAGAATGGAATGAGGTTTTTTTTTTAATTTTTTTTTTTTTTTTTATCTTTTCCCTTTTTATCGGTACCGGGGATCGAACTCATGACTGCCTGCTTGCAAAGCAGGTGCTTATGCCGCTGAGCTAAATCCTCAGCCCCCTGGAATGAGTTTTTATATAGATTTAGGTCTCTAATTTTTCTTGAAAAATTAGGATCTCTGGTATTGCTTCTGGGCAAGATCGGGGAGTACACAGGAGTGCTGGGCAGGGAGCGGATGCAGAAAGTCATGGCAGGCTGTGTCTCGGGAACCAGAAGAAGGGTGGTCCACACTCTGGCCAGATGGATCAGAAAGGGCACAGCTGCGGGCAGTCAGGAGATGACTGGTATGTGACAAGCCGTCCTCTTCATTAAGGGAGGGGAGAAGGGGGTGTCTGATGGAGAAGGGAGAGGTTTTCCAAGGCAAGAGAGGCTTGTTTAGTGTCATAGAAGTTAAGTATCCCTAATCTGAAAATCTGAAATGCATTGAAGTCCTAAACTTTTTTGGGTACCAACATGGCACTCAAAAAGTTTAAATTATAGGGTCAGGAAATTAGCTCAGTGGCATAAGCACCTGCCTTGCAAACGTGCAGTCGTCAGTTCAATCCTGGTACCAAAACAAAAAAAAAAAAGTTTCAAATTAACCAGATATGGTGGCACATGTCTATCATCCCAAGCATCCCAGGAGGTTGAAATAGGAGGATCACAAATTAAAAGCCATCCTGGGCAACTTGCTAAGACCTTATCTCAAAAACAAACAAACAAAAAAAAACCCTTTAGGTTTTGGAGCGTTTTTTGGTAGGAGGGGTCCTAGGAATCAAACTCAGGACCTTGTGCTTGCCAGGCAGGTGCTGTGCCACTGAGCTGTGTCCCTGGCCCCTTTTGTAGCATTTTGAATTTCAGATTAGAGATGCTTAAAATCTGTGCAGCTATTCTAAAATCTGAAACAACAACAACAAAAACCTGCATAATAAAACAACTCCAAAATCTGAAACATTTATGATCTTAAACAAATTTTAGGTAGGGATATTCAGACCTTATGGGGAAAAGGAGGTAGGTGGCTGCAGCATGTCCTGGAGCAGCAAGAAGTGGGTAGGTGGAGCTGTGCTGAGCCTTCTTCCCATGCTGTGGGGCAGGGGACACTCACGTCTTCCTCACGTACAGGGGCTTTGCTACATCAGGGCAGCTGGCTGCCTCTGTCTGCGTCTCTAGGAAGGCTAGCCAGTGCCCCAAGGCTGAAACCAGTCTTCATCCGGGACTTGTTGGTCACCCTTCTCTTTTCCACCTTCTGCCTTGCTGCCCTCTGGCCTGCCCTACACACCCTGATAAGAGTGGTAGCCAGTTTTGTCTAGCAGTCCCAGATGACTGTATAGGAGCTGCTCCCTCCCATTATTTCCTTCAGGCTTTTGCTCAGATCTTGCCATTAGGACCTTCCTTGAGCAATCTGTTTGAAAATCAAACATTCAGACTTTGTGTATGTGCATGTATGTGTGTGTGCGCATGTGCGTATGCGTGTCACTGGGGTTGGAATCTAGGGTCTCATTCCTGCCGGGCAAATGTCCTACCACTGGCTGGGTGACACTTCAGCCCCTAAACATAGTCTTTCTTTCTTTCTTTTTTTTTTTGTCTTTTGCGTTTTTTATCGGTACCGGGGATCGAACTCACGACTGCCTGCTTTCAAGGCAGGCGATTATGCCGCTGAGCTAAATCCCCAGCCCCCACATAGTCTTTCTTAACCAGCTTTATTTTTCGCCATAGTGCTTGTTTCCATCTGGCATTATTTAACTGGGGTTGTTGGTCTCCTCCCCTGGAATACAGGCTCCCTGGGCTTAGAGCCTTGTGTATCACAGTTGCTCCAGTGTGGGGCATAAGGTGTGTGTGTTGACTGAGGAGAGTTGATAGGTTTCTTATGAGAGATGATAGGTGTCTCATGGTACGGAGGAGGGTCAGTGACTGCCCGACTGTGCCTGTGTGGTCTTATTTCTTCGTGTCTGGGTCAGAAAATCCATGTTGATTGTGAAGAATAGAATTTAGTTCCTGAAAAAATGACTTTTCCCTTAGGTCATGGGGAGGTGTCTGGAACTGTGTTCCAGGTCTATCATGACATCTGCAGGCAGTGACTTCCGCTGCTCTCTCTGCTCAGCTTTTTGAGTCCTCAGGTGACAGCAACAAGCCCCAAATCATGGATTCCCTTGTAGACCCCACTAGCGTTCAGTAACATTGGCTAGGGAAGAACTTGCCCAAGGTCAGGTGTATGGGCAGCATCGGGCAGGAGCTGCATGCCTGCCCGTCTGGCTCCATAGTCCGTGGTGCCAAGCACTGCTCTCTCTGTTTCTCCTCCCCTAGGTATTTGCATCAAGTGTGGGCTTGGCATCTATGGTGCAAGGCAAGCGTGCCAGGCAATGGGGAGCCTGTATCACACTGACTGCTTCATCTGTGACTCCTGCGGTAGGTAACCTATTTCCAATACCCCTTTTTGCTCCTTCACACCCGAGTCCCAGGCAGATAGGCACCCAGCTCTGGCCCAGGCTGACCACAGTCTTCCCTTGCAGGTGGGTCATGGCCCCTGGCCTCTGCACCTGGCCCGTTTGAGGGCCCCAGGCTGCTGGGGAGATGTACTGGGGCTTGGCAGGGAACTGAGGAGTCCTTTAGGGCTATAGGAAAGGCCATCCCTCCTGTCTTCAGCTCTAGCTTCTGTCACTTGCTGGGCACTGGGGTCTGTTGGAGGATGGGTTATAGAGTAGTGAGAGGCTTTCTGCCTACCTGGATGTAGGGCTAATGTTTTTTTCCTGGTTTATTTTCGTCTCTGTTTACAGACAGTGTAAATACAAGTATTATAAAAAGAAAAAAGTGCTAGGTGTGGTGGTGCATGCCTGTAATCCCAGCATTTCGGAGGCTGAGGCAGGAGGATTGCTGCAAGTTTGAGGCCAGCCTGGGCTACATAGTCCAAGTCCAGCCTTAACTATATAGTGAAAACCTGTCTCAACAAAAATAAAAACAAAGCAAACAAAAAAGAAAAAAGTGGGGTTGGGGATTTAGCTCAGCGGCATAAGCGCCTGCCTTGCAAGTAAGTGTGCAGTTGTGAGTTCGATCCCTGGTACCGATAAAAACGAAAAAAACAAACAAAAAAAATTTAAAAAAAGAAAAGGTAAGTATACTCCAACTGCCCTAATAAATCTGCACTCTTGATTTTCCCACTGTTGTTTAATTTTGCCCCTAAGCAGACATCTTTTATTTACATTAAACATTTTTTAATATTTTGTTACAGAATAATCTGTATACATTGTTAAGTCAAATAAGTTTCTTTTTTAATTAATTAAAATTTTTTTTGAGGCAGGGTCTTGTTATGTAGTCCAGGCTGCTTTGAACTTGGTATGTAGCTGAGGTTCAAAACTCAGGGTAATCCTGCCTCAGCCTACTGAGTGCTGGGATTACAGTTGTGTGCCATCATGCCTGGCTCCTCAAATAGTTCTAATACAAAGTTTTAGGGCTTTTTTTTTTTTTTTTTTGAGGTGTGGGAAATTGAGCACAATTCAAACATGATAGGGGAAGTGCTGTGCCAGTGAGGTATACCCTTAAGCTTAGTAGGTGGTTTTTAAAAATTTGGGGGTTTTTGGTTTTGTTTTAGTTTTTGGTGGTATTGGGCATTGAACTCAAGAGCACTCATCCACTGAGCTACAGCCCCAGACATTTTAAGTATTATTTTTTAAGTTTTCAGATAGGATCTTGCTCAACTGCTTAGACTGGTCTTGAACTTGTGATCCACTTGTGTCAGTGGCATGTGCCACTGCACCTAGCTTAGCTTTTAATTTTTCTTACCTCAAATGTGCCATCCAGGCTTCATACTGAATTCCCACTGGAGGCCCTCAGCAGTCTGTCCCCTTGAGTGCTAGGCCTGTGTGGAACCCTCTGGTGTCTGTTTTCTGGGTTGGATCCACTGTTTCCTGTAGATTATTATACTGAGGAGGCTTCCTTCCTTCCTTCCTTCCTTCCTTCCTTCCTTCCTTCCTTCCATCCTTCCTTCCTTCCTTCCTTCCGTCCTTCCTTCCGTCCTTCCGTCCTGTCTTTTATGGGTTGGAGCCTAGAACCTTGCAAATACTAGGCAAGTGCTCTACCGGTGAGCCATTAGGGAGGATGCTGATAAATTCTGATGCCATTCAGATTTATTCTCCTCTACTCTCTAAGTTGCCAGGATGGACCCAAACTCCTGGGTGCAGACAATCTGCCTGTCTCATCTTCCAGATGAGCTCCTAGGAGCTGGAACTGCAGATGCACGCTATTGCGCCAGGCTCGGAGTCACATTTGTGTGTGTGTGTGTGTGTGTGTGTGTGTGTGTGTGTGTGTGTGTGACAGAGAGTGAGAAAGAGGTGTTTTTTCTTTTTGAGAACTCTCAGGAAGAAGGCTGTTCATGACACAAATCCTTGAGATAGCCAGTGGGGATGGCATGTCATGAAATACAACATGCATGGTACCCCTGAAGGCATACAACACAGCACCCAGGCTCAAGGTGTTCTGTGTTTGGTGTGTGCTTTTGCCATTGGTTAGGGTGAAACTTAGGAACCCTTTCAGACTGCAGTGTTGCCCTTTAGTTTTTTTCTTTTTAATATTAAAGAGATTCCTCTTAGTTCTGAGAGTTTTTTGTTGTACTATTTATCTCTGAAACTAATTTTTTTTTTGTCTTTTTGATACAGGGTCTTGCAGTTCAGGCTGGCCTTGGGATCACTTTATAGCCCAGGCTGGTTTTGAACTCGCAGCGATTCTGCTGCCTCAGCCTCCTGAGTGCTGGGATTACAGGTGTGCACAGGTGTCACACCCAGTTTTTGGAACTAACTTTAACAATGTGTAATTAAGATAATATATTTGTCCAAATTATCTGTATAGTAACTATTTTCTCTGAAAATAGAACTTAACTGGAGATCAAAGCCCCTATCAGCCTTTTCTTGCCTTATTTGCTATTAGTAACCCCAAGCAAGAAAATAGTGAGGTGTAATGCTCTACATGACACTGGCTATCACCATGGTAACAGTGAGCTGACTGTTAAGTTTGTATTAGATCTTACTTTGGTGGAAACACAGTAAGTAAAACTACATGAATCTACATTAGAAAATTCATTAATGTAATGTGCCTCTTAAACAGATTAAAGGGTGAAAATATAATCGTCTCAATAGGTATAGAAAAAGTAGCCAGTAAAATTCAATATTTATTCTTTCGTTTGGATTTTGAGACAGGGTCTTGCTATATTGTTTAGGCTGGTCTTGAGCTCACCATATAGTTTAGGTTGGCCTCAAACTTACAGCTTCCTGCTTCAGCTTCCCAACAGCTGGGATTTCAAGTATGTGCTGCCATGCCCAGTTCAACATTCACTTTTCAGAGAACTAATAGCAAGCTAGAAATAAAATGGAACTTTCTAACTGTAATTAAGATTGATAACCATGAATCTATGCAAGCATCATACTTATTAGTGAAATATATGTACTTTTTTTTAAGTACTAGGGAACCCAGGGCCTTTACAGTGAGCCACATCCCCAATCTCTGTTTTGCTTTCTTTGTGTTTTCCTTTTTTTTTTTTTAGACAAAGTATTTCTTTGTAGTTTTGGCTGGACTTTAGCTCAGGTTGGCTTTGAACTCCTGGCAATCCTCCGGCCTCTGCCTCCCAAGTGCTGAGATTACACATGTGTGCCACCACTCCCAGGTCCCCAACATGTTGAGAGAGTGTCTTGCTAAGTTGCCCTGGCTGGGGTTGAACTTCCCCAATCTTCCAGTCAATCTTCCAGCTCAGTCCCCTGGAATAAAAATGTACCTTTTAATAGGAAAAACACGATGCTTTTGATAATTTCTTCTATCTGGCATTGTTGAGAGATCATAGTCATTGCAGATGAACAAAGATCAATATGCCAACAGCTGTATTCAATAGTATAGAGATGTTAGTTTTTCCACAGTTTACCATTAAATCCATTAGAATTCCAGTTAAGCTGATTTTTATGAGTTTGTAAGCTGATTCTAAAATTTAAATGGTTGAGTGGCTAAGAATTGTCAATATGGTCTTTAAACATTCCAGGTTTGGGCACCATCCACTACTAGGCACCAATACATATTGTCACATTAATTACTGGTAACAAGGACAGACAAGTGTAATAGAGCAGAGGGTTCAGGAGCAGACCATGGCCACATGGATACTTGATTAGTGAGACAGGTGGCATTGCAATTGGTTCTGGAAAAATTGGCTGCCCTTACTTAAAATATGAAATTAAATTTGAGTGGGTTAAAGGTTTAAATGTGTAAAGCAAAACTAGACACTTTCAGGAGTAAGTATAGAAGTACATATTTACTGATATACTGATAGGCATTTTATTGTCCATCACTGACAATAAAATCAGAGATTAATAAATTTGGCTACATTAGAATTTTAAAACTCCATTAAATTTTGCCTTGAAGAAAATGGCAAAACAAATCATATACTGCCAATAAATTGTTTTTATTCCTTGAGACTCCTTGAGATTTCTCAATTTGAGAATTTTGGTCTTTTATTGATTTAGGGACAATCAGAGCTATTTTATTTTCCAAAATTGTTTGTCTCTCATTCTTGTTATTTCCTTCTGGAATTCAAATGTGAAATATTAGCCTGGTATATTCCATTTGTTTTTGTTTTGTTTTGAAATCTGCCTCAAGATTTTTGATAGTCTGTTTGTTTTATTATCAAGAATTAAATTATATAAGGTGTCATGTAAACTGATCTTAGAGTGTATTATAGCTAGATGCATTTTCATGTGTAACTGGGCCTCAGTTGTCACCACCCAGATCAGTAAGTGATAGAACATTTTTGTCATTCTGGATTTCTCCTCTTGACAGTCAAGTGTTAATGAACTCTTTATTCGTCCTTTTTTCATCATGCTGGGGACCACTGAACTGTACTCTGGGAATAGATTTTTAAGTGCTTTGCAGAATTTGGCATGAGTGACTGTTAATGGACATTTTTCTCATCTCTAGTATTGGAGTTGCTGAGTCAAGGAGTAGAGTTGCAAGTAGTCCCAAGCAGGAATAAAGACAATTAAGGAAACTCACACCTATATGTATCAGAGGCAAACTATAAAGGAATGCAGAGTGTTCTGCATTTATTTTCTTTTTTTTTTTAATTTTATTTTGAAAGTATACAACAGAACAAGACCAGAATAAAGCCAACTAAGATCATACAGTGAAATTGGTACAGAACTTCACAGCAGGTTATTGGGATAACAGTAATAGGTATCATAGTATATTTTGTTATCTTTATAATAGTTCTTTCAATCACGTATATCAAAATGAGATGAAATATAGAACACTATAGAACTTATCAAAACAGAATATTAGGGGCTGGGGATTTAGCTCAGCGGCATAAGCTCCCGCCTTGCAAGCAGGCAGTCGTGAGTTCGATCCCTGGTACCGATAAAAAAGGAAAAAGACAAAAAAAA